AAGAAACTGCAAAGAGTTTGAAAGGCATTCCTTAAATGTTTAAGATGTCTGGTGTTAGAAGTCGATTTTTTTATTATAAGGTACGGACAGGCGACAAACAGGCTTAAAATTCTTATTCTTTTAGGTAAAGATAGCTTCCACTTAAAAGTCGCTAGAGGAGTCTGCACGTGTAAATTAAACCCGGACCCGGAAATACGGATAAACCGGGTGAAAACAGGGTTAACCCGCGTTAGACATGCTTAAATCCGCTGAACTCTACTAGGCTAACATAAAAATAAGAGGGTTGCTAATCCGTTCCCACAATGACTTAGTGTGACCCCACAATGAATGACGTAGTGTGACTGAGCAGCTTTTGCAACCTCTTTCGTTATAATGTGAATAACCGTATTGCATTGCATTGTTACCATTACTGTTCCAGTTTATTAAAAGACCACTAATGAGTGATCTTTGACTGAGAGATCTTTACCATAGTTTGCTTCATAGGGGATATTTGCCCCGCTTGGCAGGCCGGCAACCGCAGTTTTTTTTAATTTGTAACTAGGAAGACTCTTCTGCCTTTATCCTGGCCTATTTTTTATAGCCTCTTACAACAATCACGCAATAATATGGGGTAGTGGATATTCTTACACCACCACTATGCGGTCAAACGATAGATTGTATTTATAGATTAACTAGCTGTTCCCCGCGACTTCACCCGCGTGGAGTTATTTTTCGCGGAACCTTAAAATAAAAGGAGCCCAAGTTACTCCATCTGCCAGTGTGTATAAATATTGACAAACATTGACATTAATATTTATACGATACTAACGTCACCCCTTCACTAACACTTAAACTTTATGGTATGGTATTAAAGTTTAAATTGACTTTTAAGTATTATTACGAATCTTTTGTATGGGAATATAGAAAAGTTTTGTTTTTAGACTTTTTCAGGCAATTTTTTTAAATTTTTCTCTCCGTAAGAACCATCTTCGTACTTCAAGGAATATTATAAAAAAATAATTAGCGAAATCGGTTCATCTGCCCTCGAGATTTGCGCTTAGCAACACATGGAGCGATTCATTTTTATATTATAGATTACATTTCTATGTAAGTACGTTAAAAGATTGCATTGCTCAAGAATTGAGTTATGTATTACATTACAACCACCATTGACCACTTATGAATGGCAGGTACTAGGGATTGCAGAAACAGTAGTGCGGGTGTTCGTCATAAGACTAGAGTCTTTAGTTATCTCTTTGGAGTGAATATTTTGTATCAAACTTAACTATTTTTTTTTGAAGTGTAGTAGTAAGTACTTCTTTAGTATCGTTGTGATTTTAAACTCGATGAATGGAAAAAATTACACTAAAAAGAGACAAATATATTCTTCTATGGGATTTAGCCTGCGAGAGAAATTAAATTTGTCGCGTTGAGGCCATCTAGCGTTTTTTTTTTATGTACCATCTTGAAGTCAATTAATTTTTGTTCGATAAAATGACTTTACCTATAGAATGAAGTAGATGCCGCTATTACAAAGCAATTTTACTGGAAAGAAAATATTCTTATAATTTATTACACTAAAATTTGAGCTCTACATGTCTAAAAGTAAGGATTCTAACATTTATTTGCTGTAAAATTAAACCTTTATCTTACACTGGCTGTTCCCCGCAACTTCGCCCGCGTGTAATTTAGAGTTTCAATTTTGTTGCGCGGAACCCTAATTGTTTTTCTAAAATATAAGTAGTCTAGGTTACTCCTTCTAACATGAGCTATCTGCCAGTGAAAGCCCCATCCAAATCGGTACATGGTTTTCGGATGATGCGTGTTCAGATAGACATCGTGTTAGTGTTTTATTATATTAATAGATAAAAGATAACTTAAAAGCAAGTATAAAGCCCGTACCTCAATTTAAATGTATGTAAGGCGGACCAAATTTGACCTCTCGACGTGTATATCATCAATAGTCTAACGATACATCTTGCTGATTTACCACATCGGATATGCAAAAAAGGATCGAGACGAAGTATTCCTGATTATTTTTCAGTGAAAGTCCCGTCTAAATCGGTGCAGGCGTTAAGTACCGTATATACTTTCATACGCAATTAATAGAAAACTGTTATTTTGACATTACAAACGGACACATAAATTTTATTTATTTGTTTAGATTCCATGCCACGCTTGTAGTTGAAAATTATCATATTAAATAAATAATTTGCCGTGAAATATTTTTATTTTATATTTCATCTCATATGAAGGATACACTTCTACCGCGTGTGAACTGCACACATGTTTTTTTTAAATAAATCTTATCATACAATTATCTGAAGGATAATATAGTTCTCACCCGTGGCTTATATAAAATTGAACTGTATTTTTGATAAACCAACATGCAGAGACTCCTGTCTTGTCTCTGAGTATAATGATGGATATATCATTTTTATCAACTAGCCCACAACAGCTATGAATGTGCAAAATACGAAACAATATTATAGATATTTTGTAAACAGTGTTACATAATGTAGTATAAAGTAGATATTTTGTTAAGAATTCTACAAGAAAGATTGGATGTTGTGGCTAGGATTAAAAAAGGGAATGCTTTGGTGGCTTGGACACCTAGAAAGAATGAATGACGAAAAAATGCAAAGCAAATTTAGACTGCAGAAGTGTGTGGTACAGTCGGCAAGAGAAGCCTTAGATGGAAGTTCGTCGACCAAATGGCTATATATATATATTAAACATGGGCCAAATTAAGAGTACACTTAAATTATGTGTAGATATATGGATGTATAATGTAAATATGTCTTTGCCAACTTCTCTATGTAGCGTGAGATTTTATGTGTGTATGTAATTCTACACGCACAACAAAACTAACATTTTGTAAATAAGACCAAGACTACAATGATTTAAACAATATAATATGAACATGTCCTTTTCCCATCCCTAAACATATCATGCGAACAATTTCATACCACAATCACTAAAAACTAGACTTTAAAGTTAAGAAATAAAGACCAATTTCGATATGCATCCTGCGACTGCTACGAATCAATAATCTCCCGTAGGCCGCGTAGCAAGGGACATAGACAACTGAGGCTTGAAATATATATCTATCTTTTTCGCACAGTACTATCTTTTCGTAAACATTTCCATTATATGAAAGTACTAGGAGCAGATGAATTTTCTTTGGTTAAATAGAACCGTGGTATTGGAGAGTTTTCATGAAAATTCTAATAATATTTTTAATGTTTTACATCATTCAATATTATAAAATATATTAATTTCAATTGCGCTATATACAGCGCTAGGTACAGACAATTTGAATTATGTATTTATTACTAGCAGTTTCACGCGTATTGGATTTAATTGGCTTTAATTTTTTGTTTTTACGTGAAACCCTAATTCTTTTCCTAAAATAAAAGTAGCCTAAGTTACTCCTTAGCTTACATCGGCTATTTGCCAGTGAAAGTCCCATCGAAATCGGTTCACTTATTTCACAATTTCACTTAGTGTATTATGATTGCTAATTAACAATATAAGCCTTGCAAATTTAAAACGATATTTCCACAATTTTTTTCTACGCGGTAATGCGCCGGGACCACCTAGTAAAACTATAAAACCTTCGTTTTCTTCTTTATTATCCTTATAAATCTCCTGCTAGATATAGATATTTCCAAGAATGTGGCTAATGAAGCATGTTTTAGAAAATTTATCTATACCACCAACCTCTATATGTACAAGTAAACCTACTCTAGGTAGGCGGATTTATAAGCATAGCGTTGACAAGCCGTGGTAGAGTCAAGCTACAGCTATATAATGGTTGTAGCATTAATGGTCGACTCGACCGGGATAGGACCATGCTATCACAGAATACCAGCGTAAAATAGCAGCTTAATGCTGCTGTGTTTCGTATTGTGAGTGTAGAGAACCGGAGACCCTTTTTACTGGAAACGAGGCATCTCAGTCCTCAGGGGTGACAACGCATATGCATTTTGATTCTTAATCGAGGGTAGATGTAAATGTCTATGGACGACTGCGTCCACTTACCATCAGGTGGACTGTGTTCGTTTGTCATCCTTATACTATGAAAAAACCTTCCACATTTTTGCGATCCTTTCCAGGCGTTCGACTGTGTAAATCATGATACATTATTAATCATATTTAGCCATTATGGTGTCAAAAAAAATTGGTTTACTTTATTATATGATTCCCCCTAACATTACACAAATTCAAAACGCATGTAAAAAATGTTCTTATTAAAAAGGACATTATAAATTCGATGATTATTAAAAATTTTATTTATTGTAACTCAGTCATTCCATCTTAGTCCACAGGGATGACAAAACATTTGCTTTTTGATTGTTGATAATTGATGATAGAGGTAGATGTCTATGGGTCATATCATCCACTTACCATCAAGTTGACTTTTTTTTTTAGGATAGAGTGATAAACGAGCACACAGTCCACCTGATGGTAAGTGGTTGCTGTGGCCCATAGACATCTACATTTACCCTCGTTTGCGAATCAAAATGCAGATGTGTTGTCACCCGTGAGGACTAAGATGGAATGCCTCTTTTCCAGTAAAATGGGTATCCGGTTCTCTACACTCACCATACGAAACAAAGCAGTGTTAAGCTGCTATTTTACGCTGGTATTCTGTGAGAGCGTGGTCCTTCCCCGGTCGAGCCGACTGTTTTCTCGTTTGTCATCCTAACTTCCATAAAAAAATAGTAGACAACTCTGTTATATTTTTTTATAGGAGAGGGGGCAAACGAGCATACGGATCATCTGATGGTGACTATCGCCGCCTATGAATAACTGTAACACCAGGGGAACTGCAGGTGCCTTGCCGGCCTTTAGAAAGGAGTAACCTTATATATTTGGATTCAATCTGATGCAGGGCGTATAGCCCCTTCCAAGCCCAACGCATGCAAATTATAATTCGAACTGGTTATAGATTTTTAGGAGTATATGAGCTTAAACTATTCAATGATATAATATTAGTAATTATTATTTTGTTTCAGATTTACTGAAGGGTTCGTGGATATAAGGGAGCGCGAGAGAAAAGTGAAAAGAGGCAGTCGCGAGCAGGGGCGCCAGCTGATGAACCGACACAACAACGAGGCTGGCAGAAGAGTGAGGAAGTTTTATTAATGCGATGTTATTACGTAATAGTTGTCATTATCAAGAATAGCCGTCTCGAGGGCAGGATTATAGTGCACGAGTATATATGCAAGCGTCGGTGCGCTCTCTATTCACTCACTGTCATAGTCCGATGGAATGGCAATATGACGCCGTCTGTTATTGAGGATTTCTTGGCAGAATAACCCAGTAACTGATTTTCACCTGCCCCGTTATTTAAATCCAAGATCACATGATCAGTAGTCACACTGACAACTATATACTGGGTGGCGATTAGGTTATCACATTAAATAACACAACGGTATATACAAGTTCATATAAGTCGATTAAAATAATAAAATAAACAATTCTACCAAAAATTAAAAATGAATCTTTCAAACAAAATAAATAGCGTAAAAATTGACACGAAATAAATCAATTTGATTAGTTAGATTAGTTTACTGACCAGAAGTGACATGTAAAAGCGACAACGGTGCGGCAGGTACGCAGTGCTCACGCGGTATCGACATAAGTAATTAATTACTTACACTTTCCCGTTCATAAGTAATTAGACAAAAAACGAAATAAAGGGCTATTGTAACTACTCGTAGAATGTTAATTGTAATATATTTTTTAGTTGTGTATGTTCAAATAACGTTATATAGGATGCCTTTTCATTTAATGTGATAACTTTATCGCCACCCCGTAAATATAATACGGCATAAAATCTATAACCACACCTCATCCCGTGGGTGTTGGAACGGCCAGATAGACTTCACGGTCTTCTTTAGAAGTTAAGAGGTTTGCAAACATATTTTTTTAGTATAGTCATAAATGTTTATAAATAGAATGAAGCCTGTGTACAGCAGTGGGACGTATATAGGTTATAACTTTACTTTTACTTTATTTTTAAGTTATAGAATAGTATTAGCGATCCTCCCCGGCTTTAGCACGGGTGATTTCTGGAATTCGACAACAGCGCCACCTTTATTTTTTGGACATGTAGGTACTCTTTTCGATGCACCCACTTTCACCTTAATTGAACAAAGGTACAACATGATTAGTAGTGTACTTTGTTGTAATATTTTAATAATGCCTTTCCTAATCAGTAACCTCCCTCCTCACCCCGCATCAATATACAATCTGTCGCTCTTTTTCGTGTATCTTCCTGGCTTAAATTAAAAGAATTCCCTTAGTCGAAACCACCTCTGCACCACAAAAATGTATGACACAACAACCATTCACGAGCACATAGTCCACCTGATGGTAAGTGGTTGCTGTGGCTCATAAACATCTACATCTATCTTCGGTTAGTAATCAAAAAGCAGATGCGTTGTCACTCCTGACGACTAAGATGGCATGCCTCGTTTTCCATCCCATTTTAGTCCACAGGAAGTGAGAGCATGGTCCTTCCCCAGTCGAGCCGACCCATCATACAACAATAATATTCCTGCAACATGGCTCTATCACGTATAAAAGACCAAGGACCATGTACAAAAATATATTTGATTATGATATTTTGTACCAGGCTGTCATTAAGAAGTCAAGGGTGACGTGCAAGTGCCATGGCGTTTCTGGTTCCTGCAGCCTCATCACTTGCTGGCAACAGCTGCCATCGTTCAGAGAGATTGGTAAGTTTCTTTTTTCTAGCACAACTCATTTTCGAATTATTTTAAAATATTATAAATATGACGCTCTGAGAGATGACTCCATATATCTGCCATTTGCTGTGAAGACTATCCGTCCGTGGGGTCCACTGGCGGGGAAGTTGCCAAAGGAACTATATCCGCACTTTTATTATTCAACGGCTAAGTATAGCCTTCAGCGAGGAAACGCAGCCAGAGCTGTGTGATAATTTAGGATTTAATTTATTTAGTATGGTAATAAATAATGTACATTTATATAATATATATAATATAATATATAATCACGCCTCTTTCCCGTAGGCAGAGACCACTTCTTTCCACTTGCTACGATCCTTACATACTTGTTTCGCTTCGTCCACTTTCATTATTCCCTTCATACATGCTCTTCCTTTAGGGTACTCTTGACCTGGCCTTTTATCAAGACGTCCCTGATTTGATCTAGAAACGTCCGCCTAGGTCTACCCCTTCCAACACCTTCATTCACACTCGCCTTATACACCTTTTTGGTCAAACGTTCTTCATTCATTCTCTCGACATGGCCAAACCATCTCAGCATACCTTTCTCAATTTTTGTCACTACATCTTTGTTAAGGTATGGTAGTTCACCTTTTCGATACTTGAGGGCGCTGTACAAAAGGTAAATCGCGATGTTGACGTGTAAAGCAATTAGATCATAGGCCACAAGAATATAATTTATTTTGTATTTATATCTACGTGTTAATATACCATAAGTACATACGTTGTGGTGTGTTTTATTAACTTATCCCATCGTAAGCCATTTCGGCAAGTAGTACAGTGCAAAAATAAACATATGGTCCAGTCGAGCCGAATTGTGAAACGGCTATTTTTTGAATTCGGGCTTGATTAATTAGGGCAAAAGGATTACTATCGAAAATCAGCTGGCATAGTGCAAGCAAGATTTGGTAGTGTATATCCTTTAAGAGTGCTATACAGTAGTGTTAGTGTGTGTACACATCGCGAGAGTGCACGCGTAACACACAAGCACAAGTTCAGTTCAGTGTGGAGCAGCAGCGCCACACACCACATAGTGGCGAGAAGAGAACAACCGAGTTCGGAGTTAAGCAACAGCGCCACGCATCACGCGGTGGCGAGACGAGGAAAACTGAGAGTTCGGCGTTAAGCAACAGCGCCACGCATCACGTGGTGGCAAGAGGAGGACAACTAAGCAGTTCCTGTGAATGAATTTCATTCGTACAGTGCGACATAGTTACGGTAAAGTGGATGAAGAACAAACTGTGAGTGCTTTTCGAGTGTATATTTAATGCAAGCAAATTTGAGCTTTATATCGTTAAATTATAAAACTTTAAAATTCTATAAATACTTACAAGTCTATTTAAATTAAGCAAATTTGAACTTTATGTCTATTAATTGTTAAACATTGAAAAAATTATTAACTTAAAAATTTCTTTAAATTTAATTTGAAATACTTGTAAACTTTGTGTGTAGATTTAAGGACTTACAATAATTGTGTAAAAAAACGACGGAACGGGGAACCTACGCCCAATTTTCGACAAAGTTTAAAGTGCAAAAGACTTTAGTTTATTTTAGTTGTGTTCTTGTATCTATAGTAAAATTGTTAAATATGGAGAACCTTATTGCATTACAAGATGAATTATACAGCCGAATGAATAAGTCTCAAATTAATTTTAGAAAATGTTCAAAGGACAGAAAGACAAGTACATATGTTAAAAATAGAATAGAAAATTTAGATAAAATATGGTTTGAATTTGTAGAAAACCACAAACAGTTGTTTAAAACGATAGATCGTGCAATATTAAAGGAAACAACGTATATTGAACGAGACTTGTACGATATGGTAGAAGAGTTTTATTGCGATTATAGGGCAGAGTTGAGTATGTTCTTAAATGATAATGATACCAATAGTCATGTCAATCGAAATTCGAATAGTTCCGATAAGGAGTTTCAAGTTAAATTACCTAAAATTTCCATTCCCATGTTTTCCGGGAAGTATTCAGAGTGGACAACCTTCAGAGACTTGTTTATGTCGCTAGTTCACAAAAACAGTTCCTTAGATAATGTACAAAAGATGCACTATTTAAAAGGACATCTCACGGGCGAAGCTGAGCAACTTGTCCGACAAGTACCAGTGTCTGATGCGAATTACAATCAATGTTGGGAACAGTTAGAACGTAGATACAACAATAAAAAGTATCTTGCAAATTGTATTCTTAAACGCTTTTTCGCTCAAAAACGTATGAACATAGAATCTTCTAACGGTTTGAAAGATTTGTTGGATACAACAAATGATTGTCTTCATGCTTTAAAAAATTTAGATATTAATGTTAGTACTTGGGATTTAATTATTATTCATGTTATGACATTTAAATTGGACCCAGAAACGCGTAAAGAGTGGGAATTACAAACTAGTAGTAATAGTCCAAACGATTTGCCTACATTTGAACAATTTAAAGTTTTTCTAGAAAGTCGTTTTAGAGCATTAGAGTGCATTGAACTTAAAAAAGAATTAATTTATAATAATTTACATACTCCACCTTCTACAAAAGCATTGGTCGCATATAAACAGCGTAATTTCGTGGGTAGTAAAACTTGTTGTGAATACTGTTCAGAAGTACACAAACTATGTTTTTGTAAAAAGTTCCTACAGCTTCCTTATGAGCAAAGATACAATTTCGTTTTAAGTAATAATATTTTCTTTAATTGTTTAGGTGGTAACCATTCAATTAAACAGTGCCAAAACCCAACTAATTGTAGAGTTTGTAAGAAAAGACACCATTCTTTATTACATCCCACTAGCGGTAAGGCTACTAACAGTGGTGACCAGGGAAATAGAGCTAGTACATCTGTTGAAAGTTCGGATGTCGATTGTGAAAAAACAGCTATTGTTAGCTGTCTTTCTTCTGGAAACGTCATGGAGTTTAGACAAGTTTTATTAGCCACAGCGCTCATAAGGGCCAAGTCCACCACAGGAAACTTTCAAGTAGTGCGGGCCTTGGTTGATCAAGGTTCCCAAGCTTCATTTATAACTGAAGCTACAGTGCAGTACTTACGCTTAAAGCGTACTCCAGTAAAGAGCACGGTAACCGGACTAGGTGCCGACAGAGATATAGTATCAAAGTACATAGTTACTCTTGATCTCAAATCATGCATAGACCATAACATCAAACTACAGGTTAAGGCCTATGTTCTAAAGACTATAACGTCTTACCTTCCAGACAAAAGAATAGAGTTAGCAAATTGGGTGGATTTGAGGGATTTGAAACTGGCTGATCCAGATTTCGCCACTCCTAATAAGATTGACCTATTATTGGGAGCTGATGTCTATGGTCAAATTATAAGGGACGGTGTAAAAAAGGCACCAACAGGACATCTTATAGCACAGTGCACAACTCTTGGTTGGATTCTTTCTGGTGTTGTAGATAGAACAAAATTAAATAATAGTACACAAAAAATATCAGTGATGCACGCACAAGTAAATCAGAACGACATACTCAAGAAATTTTGGGAGTTAGAAGAACAAATTCCACCAAGTGCGAAAATATTTTCAGTAGAAGAACAAAAGTGCGAAGATCTTTTTGCAGCTACTACCACTCGAACATCTGATGGCAGATATGTGGTCAAACTGCCATTCAGAGATGAAGAGCCGGCATGTAAAGGCGGCAACTCACGTAATATCGCTGTAAAAAGATTAATATCTATGGAAAGAAAATTAGAGAAAAATAAGGACCTAAAAGAAAAATACACAAAGGTTTTAAAGGAATACTTACATCTAAACCACATGAGACCTGTAAGCGAAGAAAAGAAAGAAAATGAAACTGTGTACTTACCCCATCACGCTGTCGTAAGAGAGGACAAACTCACAACCAAGGTTCGGATAGTGTTCGATGCGTCCTGTAAAAATGAGAACGGTGTTTCTTTGAACGATACGCTTATGGTAGGACCAACCTTACAATCCGACTTGCGCCACATTATACTGCGTTGGAGAGTATATCCCATTGGAGTCGTAGCTGACATTATAAAAATGTATCGTCAAGTAAGGGTGACCGAAAATGATGCCAAGTTTCAAAGGATAGTCTGGAGAGAGGGATCGGACAAGCAGATACAGGATTATGAATTAACCACCGTAACGTTCGGGACTGCATCAGCACCCTACTTGGCTGTAAAGGCGCTGAATCAAGTCGCTATTGATGAAGCAGAAACTTATCCCTTAGCAGCAAATAGAGTTCGGGAATCTTTCTATATGGACGATCTAATCACTGGGTGCTCTACAGTCGAAGATGGTAAAGAATTATATAGACAGATGAAGAATTTGTTAAAGAAGGGAGGTTTCGAACTACAGAAATGGAATAGCAATAGTCAAGAATTACTTACAGCAATAAATAAGCAGGAAGCGGAAGAAACAAAGAGCGAAAGAGCAAATAACAAGAACTTACCTGAAACCATTGTAGAGAACAGTCTAGAAAATAAAACCTATGAAGAAAAGAATATTAAACTAGATATAACTAAAATTTTAGGACTTACCTGGAACCGCAGTAACGATGTCTTCAAATATTCAGTACAGCTCGCTCCCACACCGGGACCTGAAACTAAACGAAACATAATATCAGAAATTGCTCGCCTATTTGACCCTCTGGGTTGGCTAGCACCTACCGTTATACTAGCAAAGGTATTTATACAAAGGCTATGGCTTTCAGGTGTAGGATGGGATGAAAAGGTTCCTGAAGATCTCATAAATGAATGGAGGACTTACCGTAATGAGTTGTCAAAACTTACGGAAGTTCGTATTCCAAGATGGCTTCAAATCAGACAAACTGATCGAAGCGTTGAGCTCCATGGATTCAGTGATGCTTCAGCAACCGCATACTCAGCTGTGGTTTATACAAGATCCGTCGATGCAAAAGGCGATATTCACGTTGCTCTTTTGATGGCGAGAACCAAGGTGGCTCCAATAAAACAAGTAAGCATCCCTCGGTTAGAGTTATGTG